AGAGAGTTAGAAACATCGATGAGAGAGAAACATCGATCAGCTGCCTCCTGCACACCCCCCACCGGGGATGTGCCCGCAACCAAGGTACATGCCCTTGACTGGAATCGAACCTGGGACCTTTCAGTCCGCAGGCCGACGCTCTATCCACTGAGCCAAACCAGTCAGGGCTTACCTGTATCAATGTTATCGACACATACACATTTGTGTATGTGCCATAAATTACACTATATCAGTTACCCCTGCCTCACTGTGAGTTCTCAGAGGATAGGGACAGATTTCATCTGTGTCACTCAAGACCTTGGCATGACTCCTGGCATTAGCAGGCCCTCGTTTAATTAACAGAGATGATGATAACAGTGAGGATGATAAGAGTCTTCATTTCCTCTCCCTTTGTTCTCTTTCAAGCCCATTCCAATCAGGCTTTTGTCTGCCACACTTCAAAGAAATAGTTATAAAGGTTCCCAGTGGCCTCCTTGTGGCCAAATCCAACAGTCTGTGCTGAATATCCATGTTATTTAACCCACTGCAGCATTTTACATGGCTGATCTTAAAAAACTTTCTTCCCTTAGTCTCCAGGTCACCACACCCTCCTGGTCTTTCTCCTCCACCACGGGCCACTTTGAAGACTCCTTTGCTAGTCTGTCCTCCTCTCCCTGACCTTCAAATACCAAAGAGCTTCACAGTTCAGTTCTTAGACTTCTCTCACTTACATTCTACTCCCCAGTTAATTTCATCCAGTCCCACAGTTCTAATGCCATCCACATGCCAATAGCCCAAAATTTGCATACTAGTGCTGACCTCACTCTCACCTTTAGCACATTTAACATATGAACGTGAACTCTTGGTGTCCTCCTCAATTATGTCCCTTCTAAAAGTCTTATCCATTTCCAATAATGGCACCTCCATTCTCCAGAAGTTAGATGTCATCCTTGGCTCCTCTCAGTATCATACACCACTTATACATCAACAAATCTTGATGGGTCCAGATTCTAAGGTCTCACTACTTCCTCCACTACTTCCTCCACTACAAGTTACCTCATCCCTCTCTTTTACTGTTACACACTGAAGCCAAAGTAATTTTCTTTTAAATAATTGATATGATGTCAATTCTGCTTAAAGCTCTTCAATGGCTTCCTGCCTTCCTTAAAGTAAAATCCAAAGGCTCGGCGCTGGCTACCTCTCTGGTTTCATCTACCATGGACCCTCTTGCTTTCTTCATTCCAATTATACTGGCCTCTTTGCTATTCCTGAAATATGCCAATTATGGTCCTACCTCAGGTTTTTGTATATTCCCTCAACCAAAACATTCTTCCCCAAAACATCCTCTCCCTACTAGAAAATAAGCTGCACATGGGTAGGGAGTTTCATCTGGTGTCCCCCTCCCCACCAAAATTATACCCTTAACTCCCAGAACAGTGTCTGGCATCATGTTCAATAAATAGGCACTAAATTAATGTTTGCTGAATAAACGAATTCTCATCCAGGTAACTCACTTCCCTATTTCTTCAGGGATCTATTTCAGTGTTATCTTCTCAAAGGGGCCTCCTCTGTTTATCTAAATAAAATCACATGATTTTTCTCCTCTTTCTACCCTTTCCTAGTTCTTCGTAACTCTCAACACAATCTGACATTAAATGAGATATTCATCTATTCTTATTTGCCTCCTTCACTAGAGGGAAGCATCAGTCTTCCACAAAGTACCTAGGAAATCAATATGAACAACAAATGAACAAACTCACAGACACCAGTATGGTGGTTACCAGAGGCAAAGGGTGGTAGAGGGGTAGAAAAGGGTACAGGGGGTCAAATATATGGTATTGGAAGGAGATTTTACTTTGGGTGAAGACACAATGCAATATACAGATGATGTATCATGAAATTGTCCAAAAAATAAAGAATAAAATGTGAAAGAAATACAACAATAAATATAGCTCTCCAACTATTGTGCATCCCCTGAGTCTTGTCCACTCATCAAAGAGCTCTTTGCCTTCTATTTTCAACACCTCCTATAGCACTCTATTTTTTCTTAGTCGGAGTTGTGAACATTAACCTCAGAGCAAGTCAAAGAATGATAAGGAGACCTTAAACCTTGAAACAAGAAAAACTAATAATGGAATTGGGGGAAGAGAAAACTCACCGGGACCATATGACTAGGCTAGTCAAAGTGGCCCCAATGGGGTAAAAATAGTAATAACAGAAGATAACCCCAGCAAGATAGGTTTGGCTGCATCATCCCAAAGTACATGGTATCAAGCAGAAGTGTAAGGCAGGAAGGGCTGCTGGGGGTTGTTATGAGTTCCCAATGAAGGACAAACTCAGTCAGAAGCTGACAGCTACTCTGTATGTATGCATATTCTATAAGTTAAATGAGCACAGATAAGCTTTCTTTTGTGATTGTATGAGCGGAAATCGGGAGTATTATGCTCTACAAGTACAACAAAGTCTCCTTCTAAGCATCAAACATACACTCTTTTAAATTATTTTGTAATTAAATTAACAAAAACTGATGTGAACTTTCTGCCAATATGCACCAGCTCAAACTCAAAATAGCTCCAGGGTAACCCTGAATACCACACATTTATAACAGCAGAGTAACCTCTGAATTTCATTCCTTCAGGATCAGATATCGCCATCTATACAACATATTTATAAAGTTAAAAGGTCCTTTGAGTTTAGATACTACCTGGTTAACCTAGGATAGAAGAGGGAGATGGAACTAGAAGGTGATGGAAGGCAAAGAAAGGATATAATCTGGAGCCTGAGGGAAATGAAATTTGTATGTATTTGGGTGCCACAGGAGAGATCAAAAGCACTTACCAAACTACCTCCTGACCTCCCTCCAATTCTAATGTGTTGAGTTCTCCCTTTACTCACACAGCTCTTTCACATTAAACATTCTTGTAGAGATAATTGGAATTGTTCCCTCCAGTTCAAAAGGTTTCCATTAGGATGCCTTCCATTGCTCCCAGTTAACACTGGTATTTTAGGCATAAAAATTATGGTAATTATCTGCTTAAAGGCTAAAGTTCTATGTTTACATTTAGGGAAATAGTGCTTGAAGAGAGCAAGAGAATCACAAAAATGTCAAGCTGACATAAATAATGGTATAGTAAACGGATCAGTGTTTCAGTTATACCAGTAAAATAAGGAAAGGATATAAAACCTATTGAAGACACTGAGAAATAAAACCTTAATCAATCTTTATTCTCACAGTGAAAGTCATATTTTTTTAGCCTTTCCTGCCACCAATTATTACTACTAAGACAATTCATATTTATGAACTTTTCTAGATGAATTTAAAATACATTTTTACTATCAAAGACTTAAAAGTTGGCCAAAGGTCTTAAGCAAACAATTTAGCATCACCAAGTGGACAAGGGGAAATTCACATTTCTGGTGCCATTTTCACTTATACCAGCTCCCTTTCCTACTCTTCCCTTATCAGACCCATTTTCTTAGACTTTTACTTCATGTGTCAAGCAAATTTTCTTAGTTTACATTGAATTTATATGATAAATGATTTCAGGTGGCATCTTTAAGACCATAAGCGTTCCACTTGCTTTTTACAGCTAAGCAAAACTTAAAGATAAATATGGAGAAAATAAAATTACTAAAAAAAGTGCTTATTAAAATTTTGACTAATGGAGACATATAAGGAAAAATACTACTTCAATCTAGTGGTTCCAGATTGACTAGGCTATATTTTAATAACAAACCAATGTATTGACTAACAAGAAATCAATTAATGTTCTCTGAGAATCTAGATGCAACTTAATGAAGTGAAGAAAAATAATACACCAGCTTGTGAAAACCTGAGATCAAGGTCTAGTAAATAACAGATATATTTTCTAAAATAATAAACCAACGCTTATCAGTATGAGAAATAATTTAACATGTAAAACACTAGAAACTAATGGAATATTTAAGAAAAGTGTCTAATATATTGCTGTAGAGCAACAATTTTCAATCGGTGTGCCACAAGAATTTTTAAGACACACAATACCTGGCTATTTAGTCAGGGGCACTGATCTCCTTTCCCTTAGAATGTCAAATAAATAGAAGACAACAGCCAACAAAATAGCCGTCCAATGTGAATGAATCAAAGCTATACCTAAATTTTTGTCAGATGCCAGAAATATGTTTTTTTTGGTGTGCCGCAGAATTTTAGTAATTATTTTATGTGTGCCATGAGATGAAAAAGGTTGCGATTGCTGTTGTAGCGGCTTATCCTCCAAAGGAGTAAGGACCATGGAGAGGTCTGGTCAAAGAGCAGCTCGCCTTACAAACTGGAATCACTGTACAGTCTTGTGATTCAAGGTGCTGTCTTTAAGAGATGGGAAGAATAAGGATGTAAAGAAAAGGTATCTTTAAGAGACAAGATGCCAAAGGGAAAAACAGGCATATTTATTTATTGGGAAGAGAGGTGTAGTTGGTTTTTAAAAACACATTTCTAAATCTGACTACCAGTTCAGGAGAAAACTTATCCTATGAACATAGACAGATTCTACAGATACACTGTTATCAGTGGATGGGTGGCAGCTGGTCTCAAAGAAACCCTAATGTGGTCCCATTGTTTACATGGCCATGCTATTTCGTTATACACTGGATGGAGAAATTGGAAGTACTAAATCCATGCCTTAAGGTTCAAAGCTGGAACTGTGCTTTGACCATCAGAAGTTAGTCACTAGTGGAGATGACAAAAAACATCAGAGTGAATGACTCTAATGGTAAATTACAGCCCATCAATCTTGAGGCACTTAGGAAGAAACAAGAAAAACTTCAGCAACAGACTAAAGTTATACTAAGTATCAAACAAGGAGAAGCAAAATCAAAACATAGATAAAGGCTAATGGGGTTGAAAGCCAATGGACTTTCAGAGAGAGAGAGAGAGAGAGAGAGAGAGAAAGAGAGAGAGAGAGAAAAGATGGCTGGGGTGCTTTGACTCTGAAAATGAAGATCAGGACTAAATGGATAAGGCCAAGAAAACAAGCCAGGAGACACGAAACTCACAAATTTGGAGTTTATTCATTTACTTTACAAACATTTACTGAAGAAATGCTACGTGCCAAAGTGCTATGAAAAATATACACATATTTTCCATATGTACATATTTACAAATATGTGCAAGGCAAAAAGATATCCAAGTGGTAAGGAAGATGGTGAAATGGATACAGGTTATTTCCTGCGCTCACCTGAGATAATGGTACATGCCTCTCGCTTTATTCATCTCTCTGCTCAAAGATCATCACCCTGTTACTCTGCTTCATTTTCTTCTTAGCACTTATAAGTATCTGACACTATATTATGTATTTGTTTATCTGTCTCTCGTGCCAATAAAATATAAGTTCCATGAAGACAGGAATTACCTCTTTTGCACAAACTGATGAATTCCCAGCACTACAAGAATGCCTGGCATATAATAATTATTTCAATAAGTATTCCTTAAAAGACCGAATGATTACATTGTTTTATAAAAACATCATAACAGAAGTATGCACATAATACAGAGCATATAAGAAAAGTGGGAAAAGATTGCTTGTTTAGGTTGATGAAGGAACAAAGTAAAATTCGGGGAACCCTGGGGTTAATGTAAGTGAAGAGAAACATAGTGAACAGCAAAAATCTCTGGTTATAGTAACCAACCATAAGCAAAAGATGTTCTTCCTTTAGATGCTTATGCTAGCTTGAACACTACAGAGCATCAGCCCTGTTTGGTGATCTAACCTATCTTCTTAAAACATGCATTTCATCGTGTGACATAGTCAAGAACCCAGACTTCCCACTGCCAGCCAGTTAACACACACTTGAATCTCAAGGCCATTTAGAAAGCGGTCCTGAACACTGCAACACCACTCTCGGCAGATACCAGTGCCCATCACAAAGACCTGCCAAACTCTGGGCTTGCTCCCACCTCAAAGCCCTTGCTCAGACTCTGAACCTTAATCTGAATGCCCTTCTTCTTTTTCCCACGCAGCCCATGCCTGTTCATCAAAGTCTAGCACAGGTCCCACTTCCTCCTTCAGACATCCTGACATGACATATGCACATACACCTTTCCTCTCTTTGAACTTGTAGTGGAAGTATAGCCAATGTCATTTTCGTCTATGTGTACGAGTTTTCACTCTCCAATCAGACGACAGGAACCCTCCACTTGACTTCCTCTGAGTACTCAATATAAGGCTTGGGCACTCATTATACACATAGACATACATTTATATGCAGTGGATTAGATGGCTAATTTCTATTTTCTATAATCCCAAAGAATTGATTCCAAATGATCACTTACCATATCAATGAGGCTCTCTTGTATTCTGTTTAAAGTTGTTCTTAGTCTACTACTACTAAGGCCTAGTCCTGTTGATTCCAACTGGAAAAGAAGAGGAAAGGTATGTTAAATAGGTGTGGAGATAATCTCGAAAATGTCATAACTTCAAATTAACCAAACTGAAGCATCTGATGAGTTTTCACTCAGATACTCAGCCTTTACCAGCGGTTCTCAACCTGTGGGTCGCGACCCCTTTGGCAGTCAAACAACCCTTTCACAGGGGTCGCATAAGACCATCCTGCATATCAGATATTTACATTACGATTCATAACAGTAGCAACATTACAGTTATGAAGTAGCAACAAAAATAATTTTATGGTTGGGTCACAACATGAGGAACTGTATTTAAAGGGCCAGAAGGTTGAAAACCACTGCTTTAGAGGGTTTCCAAACTCCATTTAAAAATTCCAAAACATCAAGCAAAGAACTCAGACCTTAGCCCTTAGGAATAAGAAACTGTTTATACATGTGCATTTATTTACAGGTCACAATAGCATCTATCAATCTAATGAATTTATCAGGATAGAGTTTACCAGAATTTACTTCCAAAAAGTTACTATTTTTAGTTAAAAATCTTTATATTTTAAACACTTAAAGACAGTACACTGTGCTGTATTTCTGAAGAAGCATACTAGTGTAGTGTTGCTAATTTATTTTTAACACAAATTAGAAACAGCCTAAATCTTCATTCAAAAATTAATGAAATTTTCGTTATGCTCAGTAAACATTTCACAGTATAGAATTCTCTTCACCACAACAAAGCCAAAGCATTTATAAAAATCTTCACACAAGAACATAAATGAGAAGTGAGACTTGACTATTAAGAAGTGAAAACTTGGCTCCTTGAGTGCTGATTTGATTGAATATAAATTTAATTTAAAGGTGATCATAGATACATATAGATATATGGAAAAATGTTAAGATATTCTATATGAGACAATAAACTTAAAATGTCATTAATAGTAATCTATAAAATACATTGTCTCAGTAACTGATTCATAAAAATTATGTGTGTGTGTGTGTGTTGCCCTAGCTGGTTTGGCTCAGTGGATAGAGCATCGACCTGTGCACCACAGGGTCCTAGGTTCGATTATGGTCAAGGGCACGTACCTTGGTTGCAGGCTTCTCCCTGGCCTGGGCCCTGGTCAGGGCTCATATAGGAGGCAACCAATAGATGTGTTTCTCTCACATTGATGTTTCTCTCTGTCTTTCCCTCTCTCTTCCACTCTTCCTAAAATCAATGGTATTTGTGTGTGTGTGTGTGTGTATAAGTACACAAGCATACACACACATTATTGTTCCTCACATCTTCCTGAGATACAAGAATGAGAAATTACTTACACAAGATATGTTAGAAAGCTTCTAACCAAAATAGTTGTGTAATGGCATGGTGTAGTAAAACATGAACTAATTTTATATGGTAACTTTACAATACTTTTTTTTTGCTAGGTATAACTTTAATTCATTTTCTTCTTTTTTCATTAGGTTTTCTATATAGTTAAATTCATCCATTTTTAGTAAAATTTGGTAATTGTATACAGCTTTGTAACCAGCACAATCAAGATATAGAAGAGTTCCCTCACCTTTAAAAATGTCCTCAAACCTTTTGCACTTCATCACCTCCCTCATCCTCTCACCCTTACTTAACCCCTGATCTGCTTTCTGTCTTTGTAGTTTTGCCTTTTCTGAAATTCCATATAAATGGAATCATACAGCATGTAGTCTTATGTTTAGCATGCTTTTGAGATTCATCCATGTTGCAAGACTATTAGTATTTATTGCTCTTTTACTGCTTAATAGTATTCTATAATATGGACACAGCACAATCTGTTTACTTATTCACCAATGAATATTTGGGTGCCAGTTTGTACTACTTGAATAATACCACTATGAATATTCATGTCTTGCCTTTGTGTAGACATACACTTTCAGTTCCTTTCATTTCTGGTTAATATGATATATTTTTAACTATACAAGGTACTGCCATACTGTTTTCCAAAGTGGCTGTACTATTTTGTATTTTCACAAGCAATGTATACAAATTCCAGATGCTCCATGTGATAGACGGAATGTTTGTTGTTCCCCTCCACTCCCAATTCAAATACTCAAGCTCTAACCCCCAATGCAATGCTACTTGGAGATGGGGCCTTTGGGAGATAATTAGGTTCAGGTGAGGTGATGAGAGTGGGACTCCCATGCTGGGATTAGTACCATCATGAGAAGAGACACCAAAGAGCTTGGTCTCTTTCCACAGGAACACAGAGAAAAGGCCATATGAGGATACAGCTAGGGGGCAGCTGACTTTCTGTCTACCTATTTGATTAAGTACTGTGTGGTTTGAAAATCGCCAGCTAGCATTAAGTTTTTTCATTTTCTCTTTGAAATTTTTTTATTAATTGATTTGAGAGAGAGAGAGAGAGAGAGAGAGAGAGAGAGATTTTTGTGGTTCCACTTATTTATTCATTCATTGGTTGATTCTTGTATGTGCCCTGACCCTCCAACAGATAACTGAGCTACCCAGACTGGGCCTTTCATTTTCTCTCGAATTCTGTCAATTATTGCTTCACCTATTTGAACCTCTGTTCTTAGGCACATTTATTATACACACTTATTATCATTATGTCTTCCAGTTGAATAGTTGAATTGACCCTTAGATCATTATGAATCCCTCTATCTATGGTAATAAATTTTGTTTTCAAATTTATTTTATCTGATCATTACTGTTTACGTGGCATAGCCTTACAATTCACATGCTTTCAACCTAGGTGTGTTTTTTGTTAGAAAGAATGGGCTTTGTTTTTAATCAATTTTGACCATCTCTGCCTTTTGAGTGTTCAGTCCATTAACACTTAATGTGAATATTGGTTGGGTTTACATCTACTATAATATGTAGATGTAAACACATACACTACACACCTCTTTTTAGTTTTTTGATTCCTCCTTTCCTGCCTTTTCTGATTATATAATTTTTTAAGTTATACTTTAATTTTCCTGTTGGCAAAACAGTTAAAGTTCTTTGCATTATTTTTCATTGTTGTCCTATGGATTATAATATACATTCTTAACATTTCACAGACCATTTACTGTTTACAATGCACTGCTTTACATAATATATGTAAACCTTGCCTTCTTATAAGTCCATATCCCTTAATACTCTATTATAGTTGTTATATGTAATACATTTATTATGAACTCCAGAAAACAATGTTAGAATTTCAGTTTAAACAGCTATATGGTTTATAAAGAAGTTAAAGGGAAAAATAAAAAATATTTTTTAAAAATATATTTTATTGATTTTACAGAGAGGAAGGGAGAGGGATAGAAACATCGATGAGAGAGAAACATCGATCAGCTGCCTCCTGCACACCCCCTACTGAGGATGTGCCGGCAACCAAGGTACATGCCCTTGACTGGAATCGAACCCGGGACCCTTCAGTCTTCAGGCTGACGCTCTATCCACTGAGCCAAACTGGTTAGGGCTAAAAAATATTTTTTTATATTTCCCCAAGTAGTTTCCATTACCAATGCTCTTCATTCTTTTCTGAGGACCCACGTTTTCATATTGTATCATTTTCCTTCGACCTGAAAAACTTCCTTCATCATTTCTAGTATTACATGCCTAGAAAGCCACATCGAAAAGCATTTCGTTCCCCAAAGTTTCCAAAGGACCCCATTTTAATGCATCTGATAAAGGATCTAGAACTTTTCTATCTGATATGACAGTCACTAGCCACGTGTGGCTATCTATAATAATAAAAGCATAATATGCTAATTAGACCTGACGACCTTCCAGACAAAGTCGCGGCTGCGAGGGCCGAGCCCCTTGCAGGAATTTCGTTTATATATAAAGATAAAGTAGGGAAAATTAAAAACAACTTAAATTTCAGCTCCTCAGTCACACTAACCACATTTCAGGTACTCAATAGCCACATGTGGTTAGTGGCTACCATATTAGGCAGTGCAAATACAGAACATTCCATTAGGGCAACATTTCTCTTGGCCAGCACTACTCTAGAGGCATAGCCCAGCTGACAGAGGGAGGCTCATCAAAAAGACAGAATGATTCTGACAATTAGCTAAAATTCTATAATATCTTTTTTTCTTTAATATTTATATACTGAGTTTCCAAAATCACAGTGAGGAAATAGTACATATTTTATAGTAACATAAATTCTTCATCAACACTTTGTCTCTGATTATATTAGAATTCCTTCTAAGGAACATTTTGGAGAATTAAGATCACAGGAAATTCAGATGCCATATTAAAAGATCATATCATTTATATATTTATAATCACAGCAAAGATATGAACATTTATATGATGAATGTAGTTAACCATTAAAATTCACATTTTAAAAAGGTACAAAATAAAGTCTATTAAAAATATCATGATATGTTTATAGAACCAAACAGTATGCTTTTGCACAGAAAACTATCAAAAATCTAGGTGAACCACATAATAATTCCCAAATATCAGGTCGATTACCTGCCAAATACTGTGTTGTTCTCCATAGGAGTAGAAAAAGACAAACTCAATAAGAGCTTTGAAAACACAAAATGGAGGAGCAGAAACATTAGTTCTGTGGCAGGCAGATGGTTTAGTTCAAAAATTTTCAATTATTTTAATAAATATTTTCCATTATCTTCTGAATGTAGTAGTGCCTGCTAAGGCTGTTAGCCAATATTTAAAACATCTCATTTACTATGTGGTAATTATGCACTGGGCCAGATCTGAACCAGGCAACCTGCACATTTTTCATTGCCAAAATACGTGGAGGTTAGAAACAGATGCTGTATTTTTTCTGCCAAAAATCTGAATAACATACAATATGTTTATCATATCAAAGCTTAAAATTAACATATAAATAAGGCAATTAGGCAGGCAGAAAGCTGATATCAATAATTTTGTCGGGTTTTTGATGAATAATTTTCAAAATAATGCTATTTGTGTATTTTATACAGAGGGCATGAACTGAACTTTACATTTGAAAAATAAATAGATTTTAAAACAATCAGACTTTCCCCTCAAAGGTTGACTTACTGAATCATTCCGACCAAAGAAGGTATATACTGCATATAAGTAATAATCAAATAGCTGAGACATGAAATGGATGACATCAAAGGCAATTGGCTTGAGAATGTTCATCATCTGCATATATTTACCTGAAAAGAAAAAGTAGATCAAAATTAAAATTGGTTATTTATCATTATAAAGTGACAATAAAATTACTTACTAAAGTATTTTTTTAAATAAAATATTATATTCCACACTAGCCACATTTCAATTATTCAACAGTCATTTGTGGCTAGTGGCTACTATATTGGGCAGCAAGATACAAAACAGTCATATCATCTTGGAAAGTGCTATTGGACAGCACTGATATAAATAATACCTACAAAGATGTTTTACATCATCATTTTTACTGTCTGCCAAATATTCATGGGAATCCTATACTGTTTACAAATAACACTGTGCAAACACACAACACAGTTCCTCATTTCTTAGAGATTCCACTTGAAATAATTGCTTCAAAAATGTTTAGGTATAATAAAACAGAAGACAATGTATTTGAGAAAAAGTGGTGCTTTTTGTTTTTGTTTTTTTAATAAGGAAAAGTAAAAAGTAAAAAGGCAAGAAGGAAAAGGGAATATGGAAGGCACTTCCCATTCCCCTAAATCGTAGGTCTGTGAAATCTTATGTCAGAGGCCATCACTCAAGAGCTGGGTACTCTCAAAATGCCAAGAACATACATTACTCATTCCTTCCTTTGGGAGATGCCAGGATTCCATTCTCCTTCCTCTCAACATATGATACAGTTACGGGGGGAAAAAGTAAAAACCCAAATGTATGCATCTATAAAATTGTTAATGTATTTGAAGGGTGCATGGGAGAGGGGCTGAATCAAATAACAAATAATAATAAGTCCCTGTTTCTTTTTTATGGAAAATAATAGGGAAAGAAGCATATCTATTAAGAATGTTCTTCTACAGAAGATGTTAAAACAGGCCATTTGCTTCCTTTCCAAATGAGTAAATAATTCAAGTGCTGGCTCCACTTTATGTCACTGCTGTAAATTTTAATTGGTACTATTGAAGATGCCATGACTCAAGAGAAAACACATTAATGGCAATAGAAAAGAATGACAAATTCACTCTAATAGAAATGTCTACTATCAAAACCATGTCTTTATTACCAAGAACTCAGTACATCTGTCATAATTTACATGAGATGATAAATAATAGTCAGATGGTCAGAAAGAGAAACACACACCACACACACATCGAAAAGTAAAAACCATTCAACTGAGATTTCATTCTTCCTCCTACTTGTAAGTCTTTTGTTTCAGAATCATTTTTGCAATTATGTCAGACATTCTTTTACTAATCACAATTGAAAAATATTTGAAGTATATGCTCCTATGGATCACTATACAGATATTTCATTGACTACAATCATGCAGTTTATTAAACTGTAACTATTTACACATAAAATAATAAGACACTGTGAAGAAAAATAAAAGGAAAAGTGTTATATTACATGACTTTAACCCGTAAAAGCAAAAGAGAGATGAATAGGTAGAATGAGGAAGAATGCCAATATCTGGGTTGGGACATATCCAGAATACAAAGCTTCTTTCCATTCCTAATAATAAGATTAAGCATTGTTAACATAATTAATCTTAAGGAAGAGTATAAAAATAATTATTAATAGGTAAAACATTTAAATGTGCATTCAGAAGGAAAGAAAACTAGATGTTCCCCACTACTCTGAAAAAAACAAATTTAAACAACTATATTCATTCATTCATTCAATCAATTAATTCATATAACCAACACTTTTGAAGGCTTACTATGTACTCTGGCCTTGTGTTAAGACCTAAGGAATTACAGAGTCCCTGCTCTCACACCTTAAATGATCATACATGGATGGCAGCCACCGATAAGCAGGTGACCAGTGTATTAAAACGTATGAGAGTGAGGACTCTGTCTTTCCAGTTCAAGAGAGCAGAGTAGTGTTTGGAGGCCTGCGGAAGCTTATATACCTCCTCACTACTGAATTTAAAGAGAACTTTACCATGAATTAAGCCTATGTCTATGACGAGATGAGAGTGAGGAGGTAAAGGCGGGTAGGTATGATTATCAGAAAATGAGAAATCTCAAAAAGTTTTTAGACCAGGGGTTGGCCAACCTTTCCTTTAGAGACCACAGAAGAGAAAGGTCAGGCTCTGTATGCCAGGTCTCTGTGGTAACTACTCTGCTCTGCTGCTCTCTTTTCAACTACCCCACTCTGCCTTCCTGGCACAAAAGCAGCTACAGGCAAAATGCAACAAGGGAGCAGGGTGCATTCCGATAAAACTGTATTTACAAAAATAGGCAGCCAGACGATTTGGCCTGTAGGTTCGTTTCCCAACTGCTACACTAGATGACAGACAGTAAGTGGGGGCAGATTGATGGAAAAAACGCAAAGACATTAGTAAAACATAAGAGGACCACAAAGGGAGATATTAGCTAGGATGGTCACTGCTTGGAATCAGCAGGTACAGCAAGAGAACAGGAGAGAGAAATGGGGCTGAAAAATGATAGGTTAACTGAAGGCCCACATATGGGACAAACTTACCTCTCATCCCCCTTTTTTGGACAATTACAATTAGAAGAAAGATAAACAGAAAGAGACCAAAAAAGTGCCTCCATTCTGGTGACAAGGAGTGATGGGGTGGAGACTGCCACTTTTCATTACAAGCTCTTCTTTATTATTTAATGTGTAACTATGAGAGGTACTGCCTTGATAAATATCTAAAAGCATGGCTCTGATGTTAGTCTTCCCAGTTTAAAAATGTGGTTCAAGTGGTTCAGATGCACGCTGCCCTCCCTTTCTTCCTTTCTAATGTCCCTTATGGGCCGCAGTGAGAGGGGTAGGCACAGCAAGCTTTGGGCTCACTGAAGAAGGCTCTCTATTATATAGCCCAAATGACCAAGAAAGCCATCTCTTTCCAAATCATCAGCTGCAAGAAGTTCCTATTCCTGCCTCCAACATTATAATCTCTTTGAACTTTGTCTGGGATCAGAATTCATGTTCCTTTGGTTTCCCCCCCCTCCCCCCCGGCCCCCAACCGGCTGTGAAGCATGAAAGTTAAGAGCTTGCTGGCTCTAGGATCAGACACCCTGGACTCTACCACTTAGCAGCTGTGTGACCTAAGGCAAGTTATTTATCTCTGGACCTCAATTGTTTGGTGTTTGGTGCATATAAATGAGAACTGTGAAGAATTCATGAGGAAATGCATGTGAAATATTTACACAGCATATAATAAGGGAGCAAGAAATGTAGCTATTGCTATTATTTTAAAATCCTATATAATAAAAGGCTAATATGCAAATTGACCGAACAGAGAACAACTGGTTGCTATGACACACACTGACCACCAGGGGGCAGACGCTCAATGCAGGAGCTACCCCCTGGTGGTCAGTGCGCTCCCACATGGGGAGCGCCGCTCAGCCAGAAGCCAGGTTCACAGCTGGCTGGCTGGCTGGCTGGCAAGTGCAGCGGCAGTGGCGGGAGCCTCTCCCGCCTCTGTGGCAGTGCTAAGGACCTCTCGGAGGATGTCCGCCTGCTGGCTTAAGCCCGCTCCCTGCTAAGCCGGCAGGCAGACATCCCCCGAGGGGTTCCAGACTGCAAGAGGGAGCAGACCGGGCTGAGGGACCCCACCACCCCACCCACCCACAGTGCACAAACATCGTGCAAACATCGTGCACCGGGCCTCTAGTTATAATTATAATGAACACAATAAGGGATAAGTATACAGTGTTACTTGAAGGGAACCTAACCTAATCTGGGGAAGAGGAAAAGATTCCCTGTTTAAACTCTCTCATCCTAAATCTAGAACGTGAGTCCTGAATATGCATGGGGAGGATACACACAGAGGAAATGGCAAAGAATCCAACCAATAGCAGCATGGACAAGGACCACAACCAAGAGGAAGAACAGTGGGCCTGCCTTAACCAGTTCATCAGTTGGGGGGCACAGGGAGAGGAGTATGGTTACCACAAGAATGGTGACCTAGGGAAGTTCAGTGAGCCACAACTCCTATGCAGAGGAGGGCATACAAAGATAAGGAGAAGGCACTGGAAGTGTGTGTGTGTGGCAGGGAGGGGGGGGGCAGGGAGATGATTTATCCCACCCACAGTGGACTATGACAAGAGAGGAGGAAAAAGTTTTTCCCCAATATTCAAGATTTTTAAAATTAAGGTTTGTCACTCCAACATATATTGGGCACCATATATTTTCAAAAACGAAAAGCACTTGGCTGGGAGCTCTATACACTGCAAAGATTCCCCAAACTCTCTTCATCCGTAAGAGCTGACACTCTGATGGGGCAGGAGCAAGAACAGACTCTGAGTTGGAAAGATGTTGGTTATTCTTACTGCAGTGCACTAAGTTGAAAGGTCAGCAATAGAGATAAACAGCACACAAAGGCCAACTTAAATGCTATAAATGAGGCACAAAGGAACGGAAGGAAAAGCTAGTGCAGCTCAAGCAATTTAGAAAAAGTGTATTGACCAATGAAGTGAAGATCAGAATAAAAAATTAACAGGTCTGTTAGCTAAGTCCCTGGCTACCAGTTTTTATTCTGTTATTTGAATATTATATCTTAGCCCTCACTCCACCCCCCAAATTTCCAGTATCATTTTCTTATAACATGTACTGAGGGATGACACTTCTTGGATCATCCTTTCAAAATACCATGTTGTATATAAAGCTATCAACAAAGAAAGTGTTTTGAAACTGTTTAAAAATATGAATTCATATACATAATATAAATATTTTTAGAGAAACAAATATTGGAATGTAGTCTAAAATAAGCAATGATAAAATTTTCCTTAAACCTCACAGGTAAAAATATTACGTTTCTTGAAAAACAACTTTCAATTCAATCATAAAACAAGATTTTAAAGCTTTAAAACAAACAAAAAATATATTGTGGTACTTCTATATAAGATTGTCTTAGGATTTAATTGACCCTATAACTTGATCCCTAGTATTTGAAATAAGTATTTTGAAAACAATTGATACAATTACTTACATTCATAAAAAAACCAAACTACCACTTAAACTGACTGTTACTAGTATACAATAAAAAACTTCCCTGTTATTTTTTTTAATATAT